TGAAGTGAATGAAACGTGCAGCACCATGCAGTCAGCACTAATTAAGAGCACAGGCACATCGCAATGCATCACCTCCGAAAAGACACAAAGCAAATTAAAAACAAGCAAAGCAAAAGTACAGTCCCCCACAAAGGAAACAAAATCAAAGACAGGACACCGGCGTAAGAAAATATTTGTGCCAAGAGTGACCATGAGCTGATGCTGCCTTTGGTTATTGATTTTGTAATATAGTACTGGCCTGTGTTTTCCCCGTCTGGGTTTTTTTTTAAAAAAAGCACAGTGATTGCAGTTTGTTCACAAAGCATTTATCTTTTGTGATGTACTGTAGATCAATTTTGAGACACATTTCATGAGCATATATGAAGTAGGAACAGCGATCTCGCAGGAGATAAGGAAAGATCGCACTCCTGTCAGAGAAAGTACCATCCAAATGAATCAAATTAGCTAAGCTAAGCCCCTCATTGTGCATTATATATTAATACCTTGTCATTTGAATTGTATGGTGTCATTTGTATTTTTCTTATTATTAATATTAATAATCCTTACATTTGATATAATGCCTTATCACATCATCTCAAACCTCCTTCACGGCATTTTTATTGTGAAGTGTAGTGACTGTGTATTTGAAATCAAACACAGCAGCCAGTTTGCACAGCAGTGTCCCACAAACCGTCATTAAGTAAATGACTATTTTTTATCTGGGGCATTGTTGGCCAAGACATCGGATGGAACTCCCTTTTCTTTTCGAATTGTGCCATGGAATCTTTAATGTTCACCTGATCAGGCAGACAGGAACTCAGTTTAACATCTCATCAGAAGTACAGCACCTCCAACAATACATTGCCACAGTCCCCTCCAGCCTTGCCTTGGAGTGTCAGCCTCGACAGTGACCTCAAAGTCCTGACACAGGGCTTGAATCCATAGCATTGTGACTCAAGAAAACTTGTGAATCCTGTGCAACTATTTAAATGAATTAAATTTAAGAAAACAAAACCCCCCAAAAAGCTTAATCGCGTGCACTTAAAAGGGATTTAGTCTTCATTGAAAAGTGTCAGTTGAACGTTCTTGGCTCCTGATATCTATCCATAGACTCCTGTTGAAGCGTTCTAATGTGTGGACATCGGGTCAGGGCAGGATCATACTGAATTGTGATGCTCCCCACTGCCAAGCAGACTCCTGACTCAGAATAACACAGAGAAGACGGACATCAATTGGGTGAGGTACCAGAACGCTTGCTGTGCCTGTGAAATCATTCCTCACTAAGGGAAAGGAGGAGAGAGAAGGGAAAGAGAAAAGACCTAGGTTGCACCTACATCAGGCAATTGCATTTATGGAACAGGCTCCTCAGGGAGACGGTGGAAGCAGAAAATGTCATTTGTTTCAAGAACAAATTAGATTAGTTTCTGCTAGAAAATAATATCTCAGGATACGATACAGTATATCGTTTGGGACACGACATGTCAAGCGACTGCCAGGATGGTGGAAGGCGAATTAGGTAGTCTTCTTTCGCTTAGCAAATTTTTGTGTTCTTATGTCCTATGTAGTCTACTCATTGATCGCAGCCTAGAAGTCATGCCCTGGTTCTGAGTGCTATCCTTCTGAAGATGTTTAACTTTTGGGGGCCAGGGAGTGATATCAGTATCATGTTGACCTCTGCTCTTCGCCCTCGGGTTCCTGCCAATCACTTGAGCAAGAGCCTGAGATGAAGAGCAGAGGTCAGGAGGAGTAAATACACAAACTGCATGTGCTATGGATATCAATCTCGGAAGCAAAAAAAACTTAAATATCCTCATAAAGAATAACATCAGCAGCCGAGATAAATTTCAGTGGCTGCCTTCTTTAGCTCCCATTGAAATAATTATGAGAACTGCATTTTTGACAGTAAGTCTGATAAGCACAGACTGGCCAGAAATGCAAGTTTGTTCCATGTGTGGGGGTTTCATGCTAATTTCTCTCTGCCAAATGGATGTGAGCAGTACGCTGTTCCTCTCCGAAGCATGTTTTGTGCTCCAGCTGCAATGCAGTCGCAGCGATCTAAGGTCAGCTCCTACCCTTTTGCCCGTATATCAAATATCTGACTGTCAGCTGTCGGACAACGTCTGCTTTGACTTTTTTTTAATATAAAAGTTTACCACAGGTTACTTTTCTTCCTTTAGCTGTATTTTTGTTCAATTGTTGACCTCTCTTTCAGACATTCCTCCCCAGGCAGGAAGTTCAACAGATGACCTGCTCCCAATTTATTTTTTTTCTCTCACCAACTTTCTCCTCTCTTCAAAGCATTTTTGACTCCCATTTCATTCAACTCTGTGAAGGTTCCACAACTCTGGTAGCCCTGTGGTACCTCACCTAATTGGCCATTCTTTTTGTTTGACGCTGTCTAGGCTGAAACAGATAAACGTAGAGTGGAGTTTCTGAATCTTAATTAAGAAATCTTTTTTTAAAAAAATGAAATATTTACCCCAATGTTTCTTCTATATTTGTTTAAAAAAAAGTGTATACTTAGTTTCAAGATTGTGTTAAATGGTTTTTTTCAGAATGTGCTTCAAGTACCCGAAAAAGTGTCAGCTGGCTGTGGTGGTAGCACTCTTGCCTCTCTGTCAGAAAACTGTGGGTTCAAGCCCCACAGGACGTTGAACTTGCATAGTCTTGGGTGACACTCCATTGCAGCACCAATCGGTGCACTATATTGTTTGGAGGTGCCATCCATTCGATGAAACATTAAATCGAGGACTTGTTTGCCTGTTCGGGTGGATATTAAAGATCCCGTGGCACCTATTCAAAAAGAAGAGATTTTTCCCCAGTTTCTCACCTGACAATCCCCCAGATAAAACTGGACATTCATTTCACGACTATCTGTGGGACATTGCTGAGTGCAGCTTGGCCTTACTTCACATAAAATCCTGTGAAATGCTTTGAGACATCCTCCTGATGGGAAAGGCACTGTATCAAATGCAAGGATTATTTATGATTTATTTTAAGGTCTGACCTAATTGAAGCATCTTTTAATACCTGGGAAATTCCCTGGCAGTTACTCACTGAATACATTTGCTGACCAATTGGGGAACTGTACATCCTAGATAATCTGCTTTGAGTTTTTTTCTGTCTTTCCTGTGTCTCCTTCCCCTTGCCTCCTTCCTGACATTGGCTGAGACTGCAGATTTACCACATGGAAACCCAAGGCTGAGAGCCCTCATCCTCCCCTTGTGGCACAATGCAATGACATCCCATCCCCACAAACCTTTCCTTCTGCAGATTTCGTAAAAAGCAAATAGCTTAAGAGCAATTTACTGGCAAGGTTTGGGACCTGTGCAAATGAACAGCATAAAGTCAGATTTCCTTTTTCCCCTTTAGCAATATATTTACTTGCTTTTTAATTGCAAATCCTTACTTGGTGATTACTTTCAAGCATTCAGGGACCCTACTCTGCGTGGTGAGCGTTATGTAAATCCAAGTTGTTGAGTCCTCTTAATTTCTATTAAGCATGGGGCGGGATTGCTACAGAACTCTGCTGTGCCCAGACACATTATTCAGAAGTCTAAGTTGTGATGTTAGATGCCTTGGTTTGAGTTTAGTCTTTTTTTGTTCAGGTTCTGACAAAGTGCAGAACTGAAGAGTTTTACGCGAGTTTACAAACCGCCTTGTAGAAAGTTCCAATACGGTCTCCTCCAGCTGGAGAAAAGACACTCTCAGATAATGCATCTGACAGGTGCATCTATCTCCACAGGCTGCAAATTAAGGTGGTGAGGATTTGCAGCCTTCCCACTCCTGAATGCTGATCCAGCTTTTCAAGTGAAAGTTAAAGACTTGTTATCGTGGAGACCTTTGCAGAGCAGATGCATTCTAAATACATTCCTGGTGGGAGTATTCTACATTGAAAGTGTTTCCTCCCCCCATTTTGATGGGCTATGTTAACAGCTTCAAATGAAATGGATATTGCACTAATTGCGGTCCGTACTGTATTGCACATGGTGTTAAATTATTCTGAGAGATGCATAGTCCTCTGTAATTAAGCAGAGCCAGACAAGCCAAAAGGACTGCCAAGTCTGCAGCATAGAACATGTGTGCGTGTGTTGGGTTTGTTTATTTTACTCCCTGATTTTCTCCCATTCCTGCCTCTGCTGAAGGCACTGATTCCTTCTAACAGGATCCAGTTCCACAGACTCTGCTCACCCTCCGAGACTTGGCCCAAGTGGTGACTCTTTACATACACTTGAGTCTTGGCAGTGAGTGTTGGCAGGCCATTCGAGTGGAGTCAGCAAGGGGGTGTGGGAGGTGATCACAGCCCATCCAGATCCTATTCCCACCTGACCTCAGCACGCATTATCTCAGCAGGGACAGCCGGATAGGTACACATCGGAATTGGTGTGTGAGATTATTACTGCCAATCGACCAACAATCTACTGCTAAGTTTTCTTATGTTCTGAGTGGTACTTCGGCACCCGTGTGCATGCGACCACCAGGAAGGTGGAAAGCGAACCAGATGGACCTTGGTCCTTATTCGTCCGGCATTTCTTATGCTCTTAAGCAAACAAAGGGCCGTATGCGTGCGTGCGTGCGTGCGTGGAGTAAGGAAACTTGCCTAAGGTTTTCGCCCCGCCGGGAATCGAACCCGGGGTCCTCCGGCTCGCGAGGGCGATGGGCGCAACGCTACAGGGAACGTCCCCCCCCCCCCACCACCTACCGGATTAGCCATAAAAATTAGCATTCGCAAACACAGCGCCTTTCACTGGCGATGGACTACGAGGCCCAGAACGCTTGTGATAAGTGCCCTTGCCCACTGAGCAGAGCACATGCCCCTTTTTCGCCATCTCCCTCTGTCTGTCTGTCTGTCTTGTCTTGTCTTGTCTGGTCTGTCTGTCTGTGTGTGTGTGTGACTGAGTGCTATAGCAGTCCTGCCTCCTCCCCTGACGCTAAGCAGTGAGCAGCCCTATCAGACTGAGCTGAGGGTTGGCCAACCCCAACCCCAACCCTCCCCCCCCCCCCCCACCCCGTTTGCCCAGGAAGCTGTGTGTGTGCGCTGATGTTAATGTACTCGGCGGATCCAGACACAAAATTATCAGCAGCTGTTCGCTCGCGTAACAAACCGTAGAATGAACTTGCCCGAGAGTTGAAGGGGTGGTGGTTGTGGTGGGGAGAGAGAGAGAGAGAGAGGGAGAGAGAGAGAGGGAGAAGCCTGTGTTCCGTTACTCTTCCCCCGTAACAAAGTGGATTTTAAGCTATTTGCTGAACCCTACAACAAGATGCTGCTGGTCTCGCAGCGAGTGGAAGCACCTCGCATGGAGCCGCATCTATCGGTGTGTAGAATATTATCTTTTTATTCATTCTGTCTCTCTCTCTCTCTCTCTCTCTCTCTCACTCTCTGTCTCTCTCTCCTCCACCACCACCTTCCTTCCCTTCTTCTCTCCCTCTCTCCCTCCCTCTTCCCTCTCTCTCTCTCTCTCTCTCTCTCTCTCTCATCACCACACTTGTTTCAGTCCTTCTGCATTGTATTTTCTAAGTGAGAGTGGGTTTCAACGCATCGGTGGGTTAAAGATAGATGGATGGATAGATGGATCGAAGCACAGGCAGATAGAGTGAGTGAGTGAGTGAGTGAGAGAGAGAGAGAGAAAGAGAGAGGATAAAAAAAAACGTGTGATCGTGGTTTGCAGTGTCTTTTTCACTGAAACATCCTCGCCCCGTGTTAAGGGGTAACATAGGCTTTCGAAAGCGCTGTTGCGGCGCTGTCCTTCCGAGAACAGTCCCTCTGTACTCTGTTGTGTCGCGAATAAGGTTGAAATTGAAAAACCCGGGGGGTGGGGGGTTGGTGGTGGGGGGTCTCTCCCTCCAGATAACCGTGGAATATAAGGGAAGTGTTTATCTCGCTCGTGTCTTGTCTCCCCCCCACCCCCCCCCCCACCCCCCCCACCGTGTGTCTGTCTACTGTTGAGCAACTCCACTCGGCTGTTTTTACTGTTTTTTTTTAAACTCTGAAATTAAAAAGAATCGGTGAAATTTCAGGAGGTCGTGTCGGGCTGTTGCCTGACACTCGCCCCCGGTGACATGTACACATGTTGGCGAAAGTATATGTTGAGAAGGTTTCCTGTATTTGCCCCATTGCGGATCACAACCCCCGCGACACCTCCGTCTCGCACCTCTCACCGCACTTTAAACCCCGATCAGCAATACATTTGTTTGCAGTTTCCCGACCTCGAGTGTAAGGCAGTGGCGGAAAAAAAAAAGGGGGGAGAAGAAAACCCACTCTGATTTATCTGAGCATTAGTCGTGACTGCACAAGGGGTTAAGACGATGTTTTTTTTAAAAAAAATACACGTATATACCGTAATTTTAAACAGTTGGTCAACTATCTTCTTCAAACACTGCTCTCTCTCTCTGTGTGTGTGTGTGTATATATATATAAAGAGAAATATATATATTTCCTCCCTCCTCCCCATCCTCTTTCGTGATGGGTAAGTGGTGTTTTGTGATGCTGTCTGTATCCTCTGGACGTGTGGGAAAAGAAATGCGCGTTTAGTTTGGATTCGGGATGAGTTTTAAGGAGCTGCTCCCGGGATATGTGCACAATCCTCTCTTTGTCTGTGGTTATCAGTGGGGTGTCATCTGAGCACTTGTCTGAGACGGAGAAGCTACTAACAGACACACACACACACACACACTCCTTACCTGGGAGAGCCCTTCACAACGCCGCGCGTTTAAATGCCTTTTAAAAACAAGGTGACGTTTTTTTTTGTTTCATTTCAAACGTCCTGGTTCAGACGTGGGCAGGAATGTGTCTGTTATCAGATGGGGATATAGCATGTATTTGTCTTGGGTGTGTGTGTGTTTTGGAGGGGTGGGGTGGGGGGGGGGGGGGGGGGGGTTGGGGGCTGTGCTTGGATTACATGCGATTTGATTTGCTTTCAGGGCAAGGTTTTTTTCTTTTTAAAAAAAAATGAGATTAAAATGAATCACGTCCTTTTGTTGTAAAGTTAGACAGTGGACCGATCGACCGATCGGGAGAAACCTATTATCTGTTTTTTTTTCATTCCTTAATTTTTAATTTTTTTTAAAAAAACAACAACCCCAGAACAGCCACTCACTCACCTCCACACACCCGAAATAATTGCAGGACAGATGTTTGATCAATAACGCCGCCTTACACGTTTAACTCACCTTCCTCCCAGGGTCGTGTGTTTTTAAAAAATATATATATAATAATAATAATAATCACAACTTTTGACTTTTGATGTGTTGTGTTTCTTTTCTAAACAAACAAGAAAAAAGAAAAAAGACAGGAAAGGGGGGGGAACCCTAATTTCATTTTTTTGGGGTGGGGACAACGTAGGAGGAAAACATCTTCAGAAACTTGTGGATATATATATATATACATATATATATGTATAGAGAGAGAGAGGATAAGAATTTTCTCGGTGAAAGAAGACCAGTTCACCATCCCTGACAGTTTAATGCTCACGTCGCGTTCTCCCCCCAAAACTACACGTAATATAGACTTGTGTCCCGAGAAATCAATTCCTGTAATTTTTTTTAAAAAAAAACAGAAAAATTGCGATGGAGAGAAGTTGCGAGTGAGTGAGTGAGTGAGAGTGAGAGAGAGAGAGAGAGAGAGAGAAAGAAACGCCACGTAAATTCTCGGTTTGGTATCATCTGGAGCAGCAGCTCTGGGGGTTCGGGGGCGGTGAGCTTTCATCGTGTCAATGTGGGGGCAAAGTTTATGGCAATTCATTTCTAAATAGAAATGACACGAATACTGAGTCACGCATTGGAAGTTGAAGAGGAACTGGTTTCCGACTGATGATGATCATCACTTTTACTTATTCACTGAGAGAGCCCATGTGTCGCTGGAAGCTCTCAGCTCAGCTCCAGTGTTTCCGTCCGTGAGACACAGCCTCTGAAACGCGCGTCAGAGACTTAACTATCACTATCGCCGCTTTACAGCCCGTGGGAAAAACACGCGGAATGGGATCGCAGGCAGACAGGAACCCCGAGTCAGTGCTGGTCCAGAAAGGGGGTGGGGAGAGAGAGAGAGAGGGGGGTGGGTGGTGGGGAGAGAGAGAGGGTGGGTGGTGGGGAGAGAGAGAGAGAGAGACAGAGAGAGGGGTGGGTGGGTGGGTGGTGGGGAGAGAGAGAGAGGGGGGTGGTGGGGAGAGAGAGAGAGAGAGGGGCGGTGGGGAGAGAGAGAGAGAGGGTGGGTGGGCGGTGGGGAGAGAGGGGGGTGGGTGGTGGGGAGAGAGAGAGAGGGGTGGGTGGTGGGGAGAGAGAGAGAGAGAGGGATGGGGAGAGAGAGAGGGGTGGGTGGGTGGTGGGGAGAGAGAGAGGGGTGGGTGGGTGGTGGGGAGAGAGAGAGGGGTGGGTGGGGAGAGAGAGAGAGAGAGGGTGGGTGGGTGGGGGGAGAGAGAGAGGGGTGGGTTGGGGAGAGAGAGAGAGAGGGGTGGGTGGTGGGGAGAGAGAGGGGTGGGTGGGTGGTGGGGAGAGAGAGAGAGAGAGGGGTGGGTGGTGGGGAGAGAGGGGGGTGGGTGGGTGGTTGTTAGCGAGAAAAATCCACGCTCATGGTGTCGCCCTGTTATTACCCAACTGAGATTTTGGTGTTTTTTTTAAAAAAAGAAACGCTGTCACAGACCTCATCTCAAGTCGGGAGTTTTCACCCAAAAAAATTGCCCCAGTTTTCGTCTCTGTAAATTAGTCGACTCTTACTTTTTTTTTGGCAGAGGAGGGGGGGAGAGGGGGGAAACACACACACACACACACACACACACACACACACATGCGAGATGTTATTACAATGATCCGTCCGTAGGGGCTGATTGATTTATGTTTAATCCGTCCGAAGACGCGCGGGGGCGCGCACACACACACACACAACACACACACACACACACACACAGACAACACACACACACACACACACAGACAACACACACACACACACAGAGTGAGACAACACACACACACACACACAGAGTGAGACAACACACACACACACACACAGAGTGAGACAACACACACACACACACAGTGAGACAACACACACACACACAGAGTGAGACAACACACAGACACAGAGTGAGACAACACACACACACACAGTGAGACAACACACACACACAGAGTGAGACAACACACACACACAGAGTGAGACAACACACAGACACAGAGTGAGACAACACACACACACAGAGTGAGACAACACACACACACAGAGTGAGACAACACACACACAGAGTGAGACAACACACACACACAGAGTGAGACAACACACACACACACAGTGAGACAACACACACACACAGAGTGAGACAACACACACACACAGAGTGAGACAACACACACACACAGAGTGAGACAACACACACACAGAGTGAGACAACACACACACACAGAGTGAGACAACACACACACACAGAGTGATACAACACACACACACAAACACACACACAGAGTGAGACCACACACACACACCACAGAGTGAGACAACACACACACAGAGCGAGAGAGAGAGAGAGAGGACACACACACACACACACACACACACACAGAGGTCTGCGAAACTGAACGGACATTGACAAGACGTCGCTGTAAACGTTGACGAGTGATATAGTTCCATTTCCAGCATTAGCCCTTAACGCTTCCTATAATCATCTGTCTTGTCCCCTGTGTCTCACAAACACCATCGAGCATAGATGTTTCCTGCTCTCTTTCTGAACGACGGGAGATATGCATCAGAATAACCAGTGCTGTGTGTTGTGTGTGTTGTGTGTGTGTTGTGTGTGTGTTGTGTGTGTTGTGTGTTGTGTGTGTGTTGTGTGTGGTGTGTGTTGTGCGATTGGGGGTGAAGTCTATCATTAAGTGCATCGTGAGAGCTGTGCGCTGCGATGGTGTAGTGTTATCACAACCCCACACTGTAAAGGCGACTCGATACTGTTGCGCGTGTGTGTGTGTTGTGTGTGTGTGTGTGTTGTGTGTGTGTGTGTGTGTGTTGTGTGTGTGTGTGTGTGTGTTGTGTGTGTGTGTGTTGTGTGTGTTTTCTCAAACAAAAAAAGACGACGAGGAGAATCATTCCGTTTCCCTTCACTCCATTCCCCGCATCAGATTAAGATGACATTAAGCCACCGCTGACCTGTTAGTTGGAGCATATGGTGCTCTGCGCAGGAGAGGAGACTTTAAATGGCCTCGAACCTGCGCCACCAGCTGTTTTCTGCCAATAAAAGGTGCGTCTATCAGGGACCTCGAGCCCTTAAAGTAAAAGCGTCGCTCGAGGTGAACAACATATATATTTTATATATATATATATATATATATA